GATACAATGCATTCCTCTGACACCTCTCTTTATCACAACGTATTTTCTCAATTGGCTTTCTATTCTATCACCTAATTAGCTCTTCATGGTTTACTTCATTAACATTGGGGTGTAGAGCTTGTTCGCATCCGTAGTAGAATAATACACGTGAACCCTGGGTAACGCTAAATAAACCAGCACATAATGGCAGTCAGAATCTCCTGACCGGAGACACATTGAGACAACACTGAGATGATATGAGAAGGCAAAATAACAATAATACAAATGGCCCTTTTCAGGATCCAACCACTAGAAAACTCAGACGTATAATCCATCTGAATTTGTTATTTAAATGTAAAAAGAATATGCTATTCAAACAGCCAGTACTTATCAAAATTTCTAAAACAAAACGACTGGTCGCTCTACAGGAAACACACTGCGAAACGGAAGAACAACTGCGAAAAAGGGGAAAAATACCTGGATTCGAACTACTGTGTGCTACGTATCATTGATCATACGGATGTACGAAATTCACAATGTTGTAAAAATTGGAAACATCACCGGCTATATCCTGGCCAGCTCAAGTCATCGACATACATCCTCACCCGTCAATATACGTGGGGAACTACAACAGTCACCATTAGCAGTGGAAATATAAACAATGCAACAGCAATGGGAATGCACTAGTCAAATGGGCGGACGACGAACATCTATCTATTACTAAAGTTTTACGCTGAAGACCGACCTACATTCATGTTAGCAGCATGGAAGAAGGAGTAAACTCCTGATCTATGTTTTGTCTTTACTAATAAAAACGAATAACCTCTAGAAGTCTCTTTGAAAAGTAATGGACGACTTCTCACACAGTCAGGATCAAATCATAGCGGCAGGAACCCAGATTTCTATAATCACATCCATCCCTCGCCCACTTTGGAATCTAAAAAAGCCATTTGGAGTAGTTTTTTTGCGTAACTGGACAAGATTATAGGCTGGATACCCCCTACTGTGCAGCAAAAGCTGCCACAGCAAAAATGACCAAAATATGGAAGGACTGTCAAATTTCAAGAGCGATAAAGATGAGGTTGATCAACTGCTTAATATTCCCAATACTGACCTACGGATGTGAATATTGGACTCTGAGACAATCGGAGAGAAGAAAGATAGACGCCACTGAAATGTTCTGTTGGAGGTCAATGTTACGAATTCCTTGGACCGACCGCAGAACAAATAATTCAATTTTAAGAGAGCTAAAAGTTAGCCAACGACTCTCTAGTAAAGTCCATCTCCAACAATTAAAATATTTAGGGCATTATGAGAGCAAACACAGGAAACATGGAAAGACTCAATAATACAAGGAAAGGTAGAAGGCCGAAGATCACGAGGAAGATCCCCAACAAGATGGATAGATCAAATTACAGGAATATGCCAAAGACCTATGCATGAATTAAAAGAAATGATCAGAGACAGAGATCTCTGGAGACGAACAATAAACGATATCACGTTGACCACTACACTCCCCCTGGGGGGTCAGGATTGAAGAGAGAAGAGAGAGACCCCCTACTATCCGAAATTACAAAAGATTAAGCCGTAATAAGCACAGCTAAAATCATATACTAAGAGGCTACCGAAAAGAATACTTTCCCTGTTGGTCCCATAACAGCGAATAAATGTACCAAAATTTCCTTGAAAGCAGCGTTCAAGAATCAAACAAAAAACTGTTCCATAGCCTAGATATAGCGAGACAACAAAAACGGATGGAAACTGTAGAAAGTCTTAATTTTCAAACAGCAAGAAGGCAAGCATGGACACTACTAAGAAAACTAAGAAGCGCAACTCCCATAACAAGGAACAAAACAACAATTAACCCAAACCCTATTGCCTTACATCTGGTATCGACATCTAGGGCCCCGAAAGACAAGTCACACACAATCAAGGTAAAACGAGGGATCAAAACTTTATAATTCCAATCTATAAAAACCGAATACTCTCACCCTTTCACTTGCGAAGAAGGCACTATAGCTCTGAAGGATGTAAAGCCAGGTAAAGCTCCAGGTTTTGACAATATTTCTCCCGAATTATTAATAAACAGCGGCAAATGTCCAAGAAAATGGATGGCCCACTTTTTCAACGATATTATGAAGACCGGTAACATACGACAGAAACTCAAACGCTCGAAGATAATTGACATATTAAAACCAGAAAAACCAAATTAAAACAGCTCTAAGAACTACAGACAATAGCTCTATATCCAGTTGGTCAATAATGGTCAATAGACCAATATCGGACACGTTCAAGTTACTAGAACGACTTATCTACAGCAGAATTAGTCGAAAGCTACTTAAATCAATACCAGTTGATCAGGCAGGTTTTCGACCGAAAAGAAGCTGCGCAGATCAGGTTCTTTTACTTAACACATTTATTAAGGCAGGGTTCTAGAGAAAACTTAAAACTGCAGCTGCGTTCATAGACCTAACAGCATACGATACAGTCTGGAGAGAAGGCATGATATACAATCTGCTTCGTACAATCTCCTGTAACTCCACCGCTCGAATAATCAACAGCCTGCTAGCTGACCGAAAAGTCTGTATGGAGAGTTGAATATCTAAAGTTCGTGTAAATAATAACTGTTTGCAGCTTGAATCAACATGACTAAGCAGGGTGATGTGTTATATCCACTAATTTTTAACCTTATATAAGAGAAAGCCATGAGGTCGGCCGAAATAAAAACAGAGTTGATATCGGTTCAAGGTCTCAAGCTGTTACTCGCATATGCAGATGACATAGATCTCGTTGGAGACTCCATCCTATCCACGAAAGACATTTTCAACAAGGTGGAATGAACAACAAGTGAAGTAGGGCTGAAGACTAATAAAGAGAAGACGAAATATATATGTGTATAAATAGAACGACACGAAGAGACAGAATGGGACAAAATGTGACGGTCAAAACAATCAATTTCGAAAGAGTACAATGTGTTAAGTATCTGGGGGCCGTAATCACAGCTGACAGCGATGTTACTGAAGAAATAAAAGACAGAATCCAATCTGCAAACCGCTGTCTATTTGCACTAGCTAAGCTCATAAAATCAAAAAATCTCACAAGAAGTTCAAAGATCAAAATCTATAAATCCATCGTCAGACCTGTAATAACATACCAATGCGAAACGTGTACCATGACCAAAGCAAACGAAGAAAAGCTTAGGCGCTTTGAACAAAAAATACTTCGGACCTCACCATGACATCACCACAAATCAGTATAAGATCAGAATCAATATCGAAATAAAAGAACTCTACAACGACGCCGATATTGTCCAAGAAATTAAATCACAGCGACTTAGATGGGCAGGCCACGTGCACAGACTGCATAACGAAAGACTTGTAAAACTGGTATGGGAGGAGATTCCCACAGACAAAAGACCACTCGGACGTCCCAAAATGCGATAGAGAGATAACATCCAAGCAGATCTCCTAAAAATAAACGTTCCATTTGATGGGCCCTAGGTTGATGGAAGATCGAACAAATTGGAAAAAAGTTGTACAGTCAGCCAAGACCCACCCAGGGTTGTAGCGCTACGTGATGATGATGATGAAATAATGTTAACTATGACCCAAATTTTTATAAAGCTGAATTGCTACAAATAGCCAAAAATAACAGAAAAGAAAATATATGTGTAACTGAGGAGTTGCTCCGAGAATATGGTCATGAGATGTTGAGACTGCCTCCTTATCACTGTGAATTTAACACAATAGAATTAATTTGGGCAAACTGCAAGTCGAATTACAATAAATAATATATTGGTACAGTTGAGCATGGGCATTCTAATACGGATGTTTTAAATATGTAGAATGTAGAATAAGGCACTAAAACAATGTAATGCAGATATTTGGGAGAAATGTGTCAGACATACTAATAAAGTTATCAAAAAATCATATATTTGAGACAAGAGTAGGGTGAATGTTCACATTCAACCAAATATAATCAATTCTGGTGATAGCTCAGATTCATACAGTGACGAGAATTAAAATACATAGAATTCTATTTCGGTTGGCAGTGACACTGCTGCTACTAAGTGACAATAAAATAAAATTAATACAAAATTAATTATTTTGGAAGATTGTACAAAAACATTATTAAGATTGCTTTTTAATTTTCTTTTCGTCATATTTTTAATAATCCTATTCCTGACAGGAATACTAATTCAAATACGCAAAAATTATAATAAATAATATATTTAGTAATGATTTAACTTTATAAAATACATCCACTGAAATAATAGGCATTTAACTATTACATGCTGTCATAATATTAGGCTGTCATGTAACTATTACATTGACAGTAGTAGGCATCAATGATAATTATCTACACATCGACGTACATTTCATTTAATACTTTGATTTAACTTGTTTGAAAATGAATCGTGACTTACGCGAAAAGATAGAGTGGACATACTATATTACTTATTTCTTGTATTCTATTAAAAAAATTCATTTTTGTTTACGTAACAATTCACATTTTTCAGTGTATCGATACTTAAACGGAAAACGTAAGAAGTGATCCAAGAAGGGAGAGCCAATATGAATCCTAAATTCTGCTTTTGGAATTTGGAATTCATATTTCACCGAACGGGAAAAAGCAAAGAGGTAGATGAAGAAGATCGTTTTATGAACACTTATGAACCCGTTTTGTGAATATTTGAATTTTAGAAATGTGGTCCATGTACGAGTAGGCAAAGAAAAAGGTTGACAGGAATATAATAATATCTATACCTAGATAGTAAATTTTTAACATTTGTCTCTTTTGTTGTTGCTTACAAATTATTCAATATTTTTATATTTGTTTTATGGTTTTTTATTAAACTTACAAAAAACAATTGAAGAATTTGCTGTAAGAAGGAAGCAGCTCCATATTTGGTAATTGTTGGAAAATTGAAAAAAAAAACTGGTTTTTAATAAAAGTTTTTATTTAACTCGAAATACATAATATCAATTGATGACAAACAGATTTAGTCAATACTTGAGACTATTTTTAAGTAAATAATATTTAAAAAAATACAAAAAGAATTGAAAATAATGCTTCTTTACCATTATTTTTGAGAAAAAAAAAAGAAACTTTCAACATAAACTCTTTTATTCGGTTACAACAATCAAACGACTATGGTTTGCCTAATAAGCAAATACGAAAAAATCTGTAAAGAAAAACAAGTTAGTGTCAAAAAAAAAGCATTCAGAAAAAAAAAATTAAACAATAAACACACGGGAAAACACATGCTTCATTCATCTACCTGGTCGTTATCATCCGTCCCAGATGATTCGGTTTTTTGGTTCTCTGCCATGGCTGCATCTCTTGTGAGACAGGTGTAAAAAAAAATTTGGTCCATCGTGTTGCCAACTGCATTACTTCTGCATATTTGGCTTTTTTGACAGATATAGCATTACAATAGACAGGAATATCAGATGAAAATGAGAGGTCGCTGTCAAGGTTTCTCAAGAGTTGAAATAAGTATAAACTCGAAAAGCCAGTAGATGTACTGATTTTATTACCATCTAAATGTTCATTGGTGTACCGAAAAATTCGATATTTGTAAATCTTGAATCTTTGTTTTTCTGCATCTGAGATATCATTTTTAAAACGTAGTGACCACTAAAGTTCAGGATCATATTTTGTTTTACCAGAATGGAAATAAACCGTTTGAATGATTGTTTAACAACATCAGCGTATTGTTGGGAGCTGAAAACGTAGTCCTTTTTTCTTAAAAACTTCTGAATAACTCCAAAGCAGCAGGACAGGGAAGAAAGCTATGTCCTAGCTCAGGAAAGCGCTGCTATATCTTGCCAATAGACCTAGTTCTCACCAGCAAATACAGAAACTGAATCATTACTGAGTTTTTGTCTACTTTGGTGTCTCTAACAATAAAGTTAACTTTTTATGCTTTTTTCAATAAAAAATTTGTTTTTCAAGTTGTTCACTAAGCTCTAATTTAAACAAGTTACTTTTTCTCCTAGCTTCATTTTTCGATATATTTGACATCAGCGATAGAATAGAAGTATTGTATTATATTATACTGTTCTTGTTAACATAATGTGACATTTTTGTGACACTAATGTTTGCATAAATTAAAAAAAAAAAACTCTGAATGTATTTTTTTACTGTATTTTTTATTGTATCTATTTAATGTATTTTGTAACACCTCAACATATGCATTTGACATTGTTTGACATCTATATATGATTTTACAATCATTAGAACATAACAAGTGCAGAAATACTGCACGAGACGTTTTCTATTAAAAGATTGAGTAGTTTTTTCATTTTTTATTTCTCCTTGACCGATATCCTCATTTACAGTGAGATTTTAACCTCACTCACATTGTCATCATTAAAAACAGTACTTAATTTGTGAAATTGCTAATAAACATACTATTTATTTCTCACTGGTTTTAAACTATATTTATTAATAAATTTTATACTTAGAAATAGTAATCAATTATAACATATATTTATAATATTCAAATAATATTTCACATAATTAGGAACTATTTTCTGGAGGAACTGGACACCAATCGATAGGTGTCATGCCGTGTGCTACTAACCACCTATTGGCCTTCGTGAAATGCCTGCAGCCCAAAAAACTGTTGTATTTATTGTTCTCAGAGGGATGCCCAGCTGAATTTTGATTATACATTGGATTCTCTTTCCCACTCCTAAACACCTTAACATCACCTCTTAAACCCTTAGCATGCTCTCCCCAAAACATAAATACTATATTTTTATTGACTTGTTGTAACTGTTTCATTAATTCTATTACAATACCTTTCCATCCGATGTCCAGATGATTATTATCTTTATTTGTACAATTTGTTAGAGCTGCATTTAAAAGAAGGACTCCTTGTTTAGCCCAGTATTCCAAATTTCCATAATTTCTTGGAAACCTTCTAAGATTGTTTTCACCGATATCGTTTCTTACTTCTTTTAAAATAATTTCTGTTGATGGATAAATTCCTGCACCAATATCTTTACTAAACGCCAGACCAGTAGCATCAGCATCACTTGGATCTTGACCCACTATAATCACTTTCACATCTGCAGGTCTACAAAATTTTGTAAAAGACCATAATGTATTACTTTGTGGAAACCAATGAGGATCTTTTAATAAAAACAATGCTATGTCGTCTAGTTGGTTTATCTTAGTGGTAAAAACTCTTGCCAGTAAAGGTTTCCACGATTCATCTATAACACTGTCTTTAAATAACACAGGATATTTTTGAATAAAATTCTGAAAATCAGTCATAATTTTTAGTAACGTTTTTGTATATTAACACTAAAACTTGTTTAATTTTTACTTTGATTAATAGGATACTCAATATTATATATAATAATGAATAAAAAAATGGCAATCTTATCTATTAGTAAATCAGAAAATGACAATAAAACCCGTAGTAAGGTACTATTATTATCAAAAGATAAAAAAGTTGTTGTTTTAAAACCGTAATAACCCAATATATTTTTTCAAATTTGTATTCTTCTCATAATTCTTGTTCTTAAAGTATTGGCCATTGAATTACTATACAGAGTATTTAACAAGTTATGATCATTTAAGAGCTTCTTGAAGAATTTCTTCATTATATTTTTTTGTATATTTGCTTTTCTGTTGTACTTTAGGAATTTAGGTGCCACTAAATGTGAATAAATACCTCGGCTACCTTATTATTGGCAACACTACCAATCACTATATAATTTGCTATAATATGACATCCAATAATTGTTGGCAATAACAAAAATAATGATTATGCTTATGTGGAGAATAAGTATAGAAACGAGAAAACAGTACAATGCAATCTAGATATTAACCTGATATATCCTTCTAGTTATCACAGCCAATGTTACAATTATAAAACCTCTAACACCGATAATGCTTTACTGAAATTAGGTAAAATGTAAACATAACTTAACGTCTAACCATTACTCTCAAATAGTTGGCGGGATATTGACGATTATAGTATTCTACGCTTTACCATAAATAATACATGTAGCCAGATCATTATAAAAAATTGGAAGTAAGTACTTACAGTGAATTGCTCATTAAATATTTAAAAATAAAGTATGCACATACATATACAGGGGTTTGCTTCACTGATACTAATGACCAGACAAAAGAAATCAAGAGACGAATAGAGATAGCGAGACAATCGTTTGTCAAAATGAAGAAGTTCCTATGCAGCCGGGACATAAATATAAACTCAAGGAGGAGAATGTTAAGGCGCTATGTTTTCTCCGTTCTGCTGTTCAGAATGGAAGCCTGGATACTGAAAAAGATAAACGTCAAAAACATTGAGGCATTCGAGATGTGGTGTTACAGGAGAATGTGGAAAATACCATGGACACAAAGAGTAAAAAATCAAGATGTTCTGCTGAAGATGGGGAAGGAATGCGAAGTCATAAAACCATACAAACGAAAAAACTGGAATATCTGGGCCACATAATGAGAGGAGAGAAGTAGTCTCTGCTTAGACTCATAATCCAAGGAAAAATCTCGGGAAAGAGAACTGTGGAACGTAGGAGGATTTCCTGGTTGCGAAATTTAAGGTAGTGGTATTGGTGCAGTTCAATACAGTTGTTCAGAGCTGCAGCCAACAAAGTAAAGATTGCTGTGATGGTAACCAACCTCCGATAGGAGACGGTTCTGCTAGAAGAAGATACATATATAGGACAGACAAACTAAAAATCTATAACTGTATTTACGAACATTCTACATCAGTCAAAAAATCCGATACTACTAGCTCAACATCATATTCAGACAGATCACAAAACAGATTTCGAAAAAGCAAAAACCATATCTCCCATTCGCTTCTTAAAATAGAGAATCATTCCTGAAGCCACCGAAATTGAAAAATGGCTTAACAGCATAAACAGGCGCAATGATGATAAACGACTTCTGGCAACATGGCAACCCCTGCTTCAGCTACCCACCGCCCCAACTCACATCGCTAAGACCACGACAGCTCATACTGTTCCTGCGCATACTGAGATTATAAAAGCAGCCACACAGGTTAAGATCGGTCGTCACTCCATACCGAGCATTGGGCAGTTTGATATCTCAGTGTCGTTTGAAGGTTCTTGTATTTACACAGAATATATAGAAGACGAGACTGGTACATCACGAGTGAGGAGAATAGGCAGATTGAGAGGCCGAACTCAAACGAAACTGTATCTTTCTTGATAGTGGGTACCGAAACCAGTGAGTGAGTTAATATACACAAGTAAAACATGCCATTAACCAAGTTTTACTATTCTTACAATAAATTTTAAAAATTTTATGATGTATTATGTCAATAATTGTATATTTGAATGTGTGGTATAAATGTTGAGTGTCAATGCTTACAAAAATAATCTCAACGACTAGTAAGTTACACTGAAGAATTGTGATATTTTTTACTGCAACCCTAATAAACTGTGTTGTTTGTATATATATATATATATATATATATATATATATATATATATATATATATATATATATATAATAAACTTTTCGGCTTACCTCGTCAAGAGACCACCCAAACAAATTTTACGAATGCTTGAGGCAGCCAAGCTCAAAACCATTGGCACTGCAGTTTGATTATTGGTGTACCTTACATGCTTCTGCGCTCGGCGGATAGATAGCGCGAGCAAGATTAATTTAGATATTTACTAGGAATTATAATAATAAATTTTTTAAAACTTTTAAATTGGTTACAATATTTTTACAGGACATATTTACCTAGAAATTGAGTACAACCTTCTAAGAATTTGGAAGCGAAAACTTAAACGAAGAGAAAGTGGCCTAGAAAACAAAATGTTCCTGACTAAAAGTGCAAGATATTACACAAGTATATTTTAATATTTAAACAATTGAATAAATGAGTTGAATAATTTTTATTCATGGAGATGATTACCTAAACAAGAAAACCTACTTAAATAATAATTATGAACCTGGACTACTGTGAACGACGGAGCTCAAGGTTTATTTATTTTATGTGTTAAATACACTTATAAAGATTTTCACACTATTTTACTTCTGAATAATATTTCTACAACTATTACATTTGAAGTAACATTTATTCTATTTGACAGAAACATATCAGGATCGTTTGGAAAATTCCGGAGAATTTTGTTTATTTCGTTTGATACCCGCATCCTACTTTATACCTTTTGTAAGTTGAATGAGAAAAATTTATCAAGTTTACAGAAGAGAAGGAGCTGTCAAGAGGGCGGTTTTATTTGTTCCAACAAGTTGATGTATCTATCGGACCACTTAATGTGACTCACACACCGTGCACATTTGTTTGCTGTCCATCTGTTGAAGAACTACTACACTTAGAAACATATTAAATTTATTAGAGACAAACTATATCTCGATAAAGACCGTCTAGCGTATATATAACAAATAGCAACCAATCTGTAACAGTTAAGCTTTCACCTTGATTATTAGGTGTCACTTGTTTAACAATACAATGCATCTATCTACATCTTGGTTTATTGTAAATTGTACACTGAGGGACAAAGTTGGCAGGGACAAAGAAAAGATTAAACTAACTAATAATCATATTATTTTAATACAAATGCATTTTTTTATTTTTAACCCTTTTACTACCAGTGGTACGTGAGCGTACCAGCACTTGTAACCTTTAAAATCCCAAGAACATTTCTGCTCAAATATTAAAAAGTTTTTTATTGTTTTTTGTTTTAAAATAATTATTAAAGTACTAAAGAGTTTACAAAATAGTCTATAGATGTATTTTTACAAAAAAATATATTGGCGGTACTCACAAGTACCGCTGGGTATATCCCATACTGGTTACATCCCATAAAATCTGTATGTCAATAAAAATTTGAGGCACAATACTTTTATTTAAAAAAATACATTTTTTAGTAATTCATTCCATGATACTTAGCAAAACAATTCTTATTTGTACTAATACACAAAAATACTTTGCACTGAGAATAGGTTGAAGTAGGTTTTGACTGGATAGCTTTTGAGCTGCATACTTCGCATCTACCGCGTCTTTTCACAAACTCTGGCCAGTTACTTGGCCAACTTGAGTTAGCCTTATTTTAGAAGGTACTGTAGCGTTTACGCTACTGATTAACCCCTTAAGAAATTTTTATTACCCGCCTACGATCGATTTTAAAATCGACATTTTTCCCGACACGCGCTGTTATCGCTTTGAAAGGAAGATCGATTTTATGCGGAAGCCGAACGATCAGTTTTGGTCAGAACTCGAACGCAGCCACGTCAGCCGGTGAAATTTTTCACCTTCAAAGTGACGGAATTGGAGCAGAAAAATAATTTGGGGAAGAATATAATTCATTAATAATAATATAATAAGTAAATTTTTTAAAATCAAGATTTTCTGATTTATAAGAGTTCCACATAAAAAGGAAGAGTTTTTTTTGGCGTGCTGCGAGCTCCATATTCCGTCACTTCACTTGAGGATATTCTCTTCAGAGTATTCCCTCAAGGATATTAGTAACTGTGAATCCTTAAACTAGTTAGCAACTTGTGTATGTAACCCGTGGATTTTGCTGTCACCCAGAGACCAGTGACTGGTTGTGGTTTTGTGCCCAGGATTCGTCTTTACAGCCATAAACTGATGTAACCGTGCCAAGAGGAGTTTTTCCTATGGACTTATAATGCTGTAAAGATAAGTTGTTTAACTATTTGACTTTTTGTGTTACTATCTATTTTGTTACTATGTATTATTTGTTACTATATATCTAACTCATCATATGCATATGATAAGGTGAATACCTTTTTTTTGATAATTTAATTTTTGATAATTTAATTCTAAAATATTGGGGAGAAGAAAATACATTACATGTTTTATTGGGTTTTTAAATAGGATTTCAAGAGTACTGACCAAACTCACTTTTGATATAATATTTTTTTTAATACAATACATTTGATATAAAATAATTTTGATATTGGGAAGGGAAATGAATTTCATGTGGTTTTTAAAACATTGTATAAGGAGTATTGAAGACTCACTTTTTGGATGTAATATATATTTAATATAATTGTAATAGAGATTTATCAAGTTTGATATCTTTACAATATTGTCATTAGTATCTCATATTAGTAGAACTATTTAAGTTAAATTACTACCTTTTTGTGTTAAGACTTAGGCTACCCTACGGACTATTCTTGGTTTATACTAATATTTCATATTTTATTTGGCCAGTGGTAGTGACTATTCGTTTGTTGAGGGGCTATTAGGTCCCATTGTATGTGTACACCATCCACTACCACTGTTATTTGGCTTTGCATTATATGTAAATTGTTTATACACAT